TGGACCGAGTTCTCTATGGGAAGGAACAATCTCGAAAACCTACTCACTTCTAAATCTTTTGTAGTATTTTTTTGTATTACTTTAGTGTAAATGATTCATATGTTGTTTTTTCTGACTTTATTTGAACGAAAAGACACAAATTCCCCCGTTTTCTCATTGAAAATAGGTAAATTTCAAAATATCACTATCCTGGTCACAAAAGCAAATATTTTTGGGGAATTATAGCCATTTTCTATACTTTTTAGGCATAAGTAATTACGAAATAACATTTACTACAAGGAACAAAAAATGTGTTAAAGTGTCGTCAAGGTATTGTGGTTAATTTGTGGAAACCACTTTGTTTGTCATGAAAGTGCAACCTTATAATGTATTCGTTCGGCAACCGGAATCCAATACAGCTACCGAACGAGCATGACAAAGCTATTAAGCAAATACGTTTGCAAATACACTATACATTTCAGATTATCAGAGTGTGCTATGGTAATATGACTAAATATAAGAAAAGTTAATATTTACAAGCACAGGGAAAATGTAAGTGTTGCTCATCATTTAATTAAAATGCTAGCTCATGAACTGAAAGTAGGAAAATTGATCAAACAAGGCATTCAGAGTGTTGACAAGCACTGGCATCAGTGTGCAGTGATTTTTATGTCGTTTTATGCAAATTCGTTTGAGGGAATTGCCTCTAATTAAATGCATCTGTTATAACATTTAAATTTAAAACCTTTTCACTATGTCTTAAATTCATTCATCTAGAAGAAATATATATATACACACGGTGTTATGCTGTTCTACGAGTCGGATGAAATTTTAGGATGGATGCACTGTGTCCATTTGTATTTGCCCTATCAATTTTAAACGCAACTTTTTGTTGTCAAATAACCGAGTTCGTTGAACAAGAAATGGAACTCTGGAACTATGGTGTCACCATAACCTAGGACTATTTGATTCTTTGCCACAGTACACGCAATTCATGGCTTTATCTGGTATTGTTATTGCTGTCTTTGCTGCTGTTCATTGTCATCCATTCTAAAATATGGCATGTGAGGTCTACTTATTTTTTTTATGGGTGGTGTGATATCTTGCAATTTGTACTTTTTTCCCCCTGAAGTAATTTGTGTGACATACATTTGTTGTCCTAGTTGACACTGACTTTGTTTCCTATTAGGCTCCTGTGCCATGTACTATTTGTAAACTTTCTGGTTGTGACATTTCAGAATTTTTTTTGATAGTTTATAATACATAAATCCATAATTACCCTGCTGTTTTAATATGCCAAGGTGTGCAATTTTAATTATCAAGGTTATCCAGCGATTTACATTTGCCATAAATAGAGTAGACCTAATGAGGTAAACTTTTTTTATTTTCGTGCTTTGCAATTATCTGATTCCCTTAGTATGAATCAATTAACCAGTAAACTTTATACGAAAATATTGAAAAGTTATAGTGTCAATACAACCACAAAAACATTTAATACTGTATTTATTTAAAAACTATTGGTACTGCACAACAACATGTAATGAGTTTCATAATCACGCTGCATTAGAACACATTTCTGGCCTGGGTGGATTCCTGTCTGGGTGAGTTTTGCACTCACGAGCAGTGTTTGTGCGTGCTGACGTCACGCAACCCTCCTCCCAACCCCAGACGTGCACCCTGCGCAAATGTGCAGGATACTCTATCATGGTATCATGTAACACGTAGGCTTTCACGACCAATATCATCCATAATACGGGCTTATTGGGTTAGATCGCGTAAATATATAAACGTGTTGTTAAACCCGCCACCACCCGACACAGCCAATTAGTAAGGTTTGTCACATAAACAGAACATGCCAATTCGTCACTAGTACAGCACACTGGTGTGTTGGAGAGCCAAGCCACAACATTTACAATCTGCGTACGACGTTTCGCCAGTAATTACAACTAGCTTCATCAGGCGACAGCCAAATGTTGTGGTTTGGCTCTCCAACACACCGGATGTGCTGTACTTGTGTAGTGACATATAATGGGTCACTACGGTGCTTAGCGCCATCTCCCGAAAGAGAGAGGAATAGTGGGTATGGTAGCCCTCTCTGCCAGCAGAGTAAATTATGTCATGGAAGAGGTTTATGGGGCTGGCAGAGTCGGGGGCAATCGAGGATGCAGTAGCCCGATTGACCGGCAGGGGCGCGTGATGAGATGTAGGCCAAAGGTGAAAGAGGGGACACGTCATTGGGCCCAAAAACCTTCTGGTGAGTTCCAGAAGGGGGCGTGGCCAAGGGCGCAGCCAGGCAAGGGACACGTGGAAGGTGACCCAGAACCTTCTAGTGGGTTCTGGAAGGGGGCGTGTCCGAGGGTGGTAGCGGGGCCGCGCTGAGGGCATAAAAGGGGGGTCCCGGTGCTGGAATGGAACCCGCCGTGCTACGTCTACTCTTCGGTCTTCGGCCTTCGTGCTCACATCGTGGCTTGGCTCAGGCAGTGTGCCGATGCACCTGACCCGTTTGTGTAGTTACCCCATTGTGGTTTATGTAGTTACTCCGTTGTGGTTGTAGAATAAATGGTGTTGCCTCCTGAAACAGTTTTCTCTCAAGTGAACCCACTACATCTGGCATCAGAAGTGCTAAAATAGTTGTGAGAGACTCTAGAGTAGCGCATGCCTTCGGACAAGGAAGACAGCGGGGATGTGATTCCTCAAACAGCCCCAGGTGTTGTGACCCCAGAGAAGCTTCAAGAGGCGGCTCTCCCAGTGGAGCAGCGGGAGGAAACTGACGTCTCTGCACTGCCGTCTTCAGGAGGAGAGTGCCGGATGCGCAACGTGCGCCTTGCCGACTTGTTATTTGCAGCTTCAGCGCTGGTGGCCAAGCTCGACATGGAGCAGCCCGAGAAAATCCCAGAGTGCGCGGACAGCCCTGCCGCTGCTGGCTGCCGGGCTCGGGAAAAGGGGGAGCTGCAGTTTATGCAGGCGGCCGCCATTATGTTGGCCGGGCGAGACGCGACTCCTGCCAAATTGGATTTCCCGGCTAACTCACAGGGAGAGGTGCCTGCCTTGAAGAAACGACTTCCCTTCGTAAGGGAATTTGTTCCGCGGGTGGCAACTGGGTGGCGAACCAGTGGTGATTCACTGCTACTTGCGACCTGGCAGGATGGACCGAGGTGGAGGCGCTGTGGGCGCTCCCGACCACCCTGCACGACGACACCCTGGCAGCGTTCTAAACCATCCCGCCCACGGACAGAGTGACGCTGCCGCAAGCCTTCACCCAGATGGCGGCTATCTTCGACCCGCCATCAAATGTTCAACAGAAGTTCGCCATGCAGAGATGAGGAAACCGAGACGCCCCTCGCCTTCTGCAGTGCACTGATGTCGCTGGTGCAGGTTGCCTATTCCAAGATGGAGCATGTACGGTTGGACTCGCTAGTGCTGGAGCGTACATTGACGCTGGCACACGAATTGAACGTTTTTGTGCCCATCACGGAATAGGACGACTTGTCTTCGCTCAAGGTTGTACGCTGCATCCAAGCACAAGGGGTCGCTGGAATGCCTCCTTACGGACCAGGGCCGAAATTTTTCATCTAAATTGTTCGGTGATTTGTTGGGTACTAAGAAGGTCCGGACTTCGCCCTACCACCCCCAAACTGGTGGGATGGTGGAATGGTTGCATAGGACACTGACATCTATATTGTGTCAACAAGTTGATGAGTCGCAGTCCGATTGCGATTTGCATGTTCCGGGGGTTCTCGCGGCCTATAGAATGGCCCCTCACGCTTCTAGCAGGTTCTCGCCGTTTTTTCCTTATGTACGAGAGAGAACGGGACCCCCCCATAGATGCTCAATTGCACACAGAGCCGAATAAAAGGAAATGCTGAAATGTTAGATTCGTATAAATTTGCCATCTACAACACAACTAAAATTAGTTGTTTGTTAATTGGCCATGACCATTATTTGTCCTTGGTAGGTATGAACCAGAGGTTAACCTTTTCTCATAACCAGGCTAGTCTGCCCATAGTTGTGTGCCCACTGTTAACTTGCATCCTTCCATTGCGAGCCAGATACTGCATACTATCCCGTATATCACTTACTGTGTTATTCCTGTGAACGTACAAGACAATGTAATAACCAAAGATGTAAAAAACAAGTTCTTATTACGGAAAAAAAACCTATCAGGAATTGATATGTAACACTCATAAATCTGCATTACACAACTGCACATTGATACACACAGAGACTTCAATAAGATTTCTGCTGTTATTAATGACAAAAGTTAGATAATATTAATGGATCATAAAATGAATGAGCTAATAGAACAGGAAGTGAGCTGTTTTGCAGGGACAGTCACATTTTATGTGGTCACTAGCGGAAAGTACCCAGCATTGCCCGGGCGAAAAAGACACACACACACATCGACTTACAAACACACAGACATCGACCCACACACATATGGACTCACACACATGCATAGACTTATACACACATTTGAACTTTAAAATTTACTCCGTTTTTAAAGATGAGTTTTCTATGTACGTCATGTTAGGGAAAGAACAAGGAAGAGGGAAAATGCAAACAATTGTTAATGCACCTTTGAAGATCAACACACTGTAATGAAAACTGTAGGTCATACTTTAGTTGTATGATATACCTTTGTCTTGTATTGAATGCGGTGAGTCATAAGTATATGGGTAATGGTATAAAGCAGATGTATTTGTACTGTAGTCTTTAGTACTGTAGTTTTTAATTGTACTGTAGTAAGGCACTTGAGGAAACACAGATGGTCTATAATTTGTAAAATATAAATGGGGTAAATGGGGAGAATGGAGGTAGGGCAGGTAATGGCCGAGGCGAAATGAGAACAGCGCGCATGCGGTTCCGCAAACAACCGCTGGCAGCCAAACCATCGACAGGACCCTTGGCAGGCATGGAGGCAGGCAGGAGACTTTTGGATGGGGCGATGAGATGTGGGACGGCGAGAAAGGTGCGCTGCGTGAGCGCCATCACGAACAGTCGCCGGCAGCCAGGACGCCAAAATGGTGGCCGGCAGGCGTGGGTGCAGGCAGGAGACCCGGGAAGGAAGCGATGTGAAGGCCGCGCAGGGCAGTGAGGTGTGGGTGCGGCTCAGCGAGCACCCGCCGACAGCCGAACTGCCCCGCAACAGGCGTGGGGTAAAGCAGCACACGTGGGAGGGGAATCGCGCCTTCAACCAAAGCAAGAGCCTCTCCAAAGTAATGAAACACAAAATAGGGTCTCTCCAAAATAATGAAACCGCCACTTTTTGCTGAGCTGCACCCCCTATCAAAGAGCCTCTTTATAAACAATGTTTCTGATGTTGCCTGCTGGTCCAAAGTAATGTAAATATTTGGCATTGCCTACACGGCAGCATCTAACATAAAGTTGCCCATGAGAAAAGTTGACAAATTCAGTCCCACCACTTTCAAAGATTGTCCTTGCGTTTGAAGCTTTCATGACCGCAGGAATCCATACTCTTTGGTTATTTCGGTAAAGTAACGTAAGTATAAAAAAAATAGATCACGTTTCGATCGCAACACAAGCAATCGTCATCAGGTGGGACAACCACAACAAAAAAAAATTAACCCGTAAAAACTAAGTTTTTCACTATAAATCCTTTATATGCGTCCTCTGGCTTGAGATGGCTGCCACCTATGGGTCAGATGATTGCCTGCCACCATTAAGCAATTGGTAATTAAATATAAAAAAAACATTCTTAAAAGTGTAAAATTTTGGAAAAAAACTTTCACGAAAATAACTTGTCACGCACAACGAGTCTGTGTGCAAAATGTCAGCACGATTGGATCACGGGAAGTGGGTTAAAAAACGACCGAAATATTTGCACGGTCGTAAGCGCACAAGCAAGCAAGCAAGTGAACTTAATATAAAGGATTTTAAAAAAGTGCTGACGTGGTCAAGAGATCTGCCATGGCATGAGGTTATATTATATAATATATTATGGAATTATTATTTATATTATATAACCTCGTGCCAAGATTATCTTACAATCACACTTTGAATTAACAGAAAAAATGTCCACATCTGATTGGGTCCATGTAGATAACATGACAGTTTCTTCAACTACTTCAATATCAACTTGATTGCTAAATTCAACCTCCTGTCAAAAAAGACCACCTAGATTTTATGGCCTTCCAAAGATCCACAAAAAAGGTACCCAGCTCCATCCTATCATCTCCACCATTACAAACTGGCCCGATTTCTGTCTGAGAGCCTGCTTCCTTTCACGGGCAAGACCACCTCAGCTGTACTTAACTCACCTCACTTGGTTTCTCTAATCAAGGACATCTCACTGTCTCCAGTTGATGTACTTGTCGGTTTCGATGTAGTCTCCCTGTTCACCAAGGTACCTGATACCATTGCAATCATTGAAGACTTGGTCCAACAGGGACTGAATCCAGATGTACCAACTTTGGTAAGACATTGCCTTACCAATACTTCACCTGAAATGGCACATTCTACAAACAAATTGAGGGTACCCCAATGGGTTCTCCCTTATCGCCAGTGGTAGCGAATGTTTTCATGGAGAAATTTGATATAGATGCCTTCCAGACATCCACCTACGTCCTTCCTTGTGGAAGAGATATGTAGATGACACGTTCGTTATCTGGCCACATGGCTTGCCAGCGCTGAACCAATTTCTCAACCACATCAATTCCATACACCCATCTATCAAATTCACCATGGAAGTGGAAAAGGATGGTAAGCTACCATTCCAGGATGTTTTGATCAAGAAGAAGCATGATGGCTCGATGGGACACTGTCTACAGGAAAGCCACCCACACGCATGCCTATCTAAAGTCTGACTCCCACCACTATCCATCCCAGAAGAATTCCCTCATCAAAACACTACATCATAGGGCCCGTTGCATCTCCGACCAGCATCACCTAGCCAGTTAGCTGGAGCACGTACACCAAGCCCTCAGGATGAACGGATATTCTGACCGTACAATCCGAAAAGCTGTCTCCCCAGCCATGGGGAGACAACCATCTGAGGATCCAACCAATACCATAACGTTGCCATACATAGCAGGGGTTACCAAAAAGATTTCCAAAATCTTAAACAAACAGAAGATCCAAGTCCGATTCAGTACACAAAATCCGTGATTTTATCCCATCTGTAAAGGATGTGATTCCTGATATGCAATACCCGGGTGTCTACAAACTGAGTTGTGGCTGCGGCAGCAGTTACTTGGGGAAACGAAACGACATGTCTCGGACCGCGTTCGCGAACATAAGGCAGATCTGAAACACAGTAGGACCAATACCTCTGCCATTGCTGATCATTGTTTTAACGCAGTGGGCTCACACGAAATTGACTTTTCCAAGACGAAGGTACTCTGAAAACCCACCGGTTATTATCAGAGATTTGTTCATGAAGCCATCCAGATATATAAACACAGACACAACTTCAACCAAGAAGATGGGTACAGACTGAGCAATCATTGGAAGGACGTTATTAACCAGGTAAAGTCTTAACTGACTGTGATGTTTCCATCCAACCTGCCTATGTCAGCTGTTATTTCCGACTCTCTGTGTGTCTTTCTCTCTCTCTCTCTGCATCTCTCTCCGATCTGACCTGCCTCCTCCCCCTTCTCTCTCTCCCTCTACAGCTGACCTCTGCAGTGCTGCTGCGGTGGCCCACTTTACTCCAGTGACCCGGGTGCTGCTGCGGGGTCCACTTTCTGCCTCGCCTCCTACCCCCCCCCTTCTCTCTCCCCCCCTACTACCGAGCCCTATATAACCTCGTGCCACGACAGATCTCTCGCCTACTTCAGCAGTTGTTTCTTGCTGTGGATGTCCCACCTGACGACGATTGCTTGTGTTGCGATCGAAACGTCATGATCTATTAATTGTTTCTACCTACGTGACTTTACTGAAAGAACCAAAGAGTATTGTCCTTGCGCCTTGTTAATGGACATTGCAAAGCTGAGCTGGATGGGGGATTGAAGCCTCCTAAATTCAAAGACTGTGTCGTTTGGGATTATATGTACGTGAGGGAGAAAGACGTCTTCACCTTTAGAATTGCCTGTAATGATTGTAGCTGCGATAACATTTGAATGTAATTGTTTGACAATTAACCTTGTGCCATTGCATAGCCTAGTCTGAATAGCAAGAAATGTGCCCCAATTTTTAGTAGTAAGTTGTGTGGAGGAACACCCGGGAGCTGCATAGAATTCAACTGAATAGTGAACAATTTGATCATGGTCCAACACTGTCAATAGATTTGTAGGACTTGCTTTCTCCAGGTAAATTGTGCAACAGCATGGAATTGATTCTGTGAACAGCATAATACCTTAGAGCCAAAATGTCCCTCTCCCGTAGCCAGATAACATCTTGAAAGTGTTGTTGCATGTTTGCATACACTTTTTCCCCCTGTTCCTGTTTCGAAGTGGAAAGGATGCCTTTAGACATGGTGATAAGTGCATCTGTGGCGTCAGCAACAATACTTCTAGATTTGAAGCTTTCGTGACTGCAAGGATTCATATTCTTAGGTTTTTTCGGTAAAGTCACGTAGGTAAAAACATTAAAAAGTAAAATAAAATAAAAATCACGACGTTTCGGAGGCAACACAAGCTTCCGTCTTCAGGTGGTACCGTCACAGCCACGAAAGCTGTATCAAGTAAATGAGAGATTGCAGGAGCTACCACTCCGTTTATATAATGGTTGGAGAAGGTGGTGGGGCAAGGGCCGCATACTTTTTATTAATATGGTAAGGTGAGGCTTAAGACTAAGAATAGACTGCATAACAAAGGCTGAGCCTTTGTTTGGAGAGGTACGGTTTGTGACTCAACCTGTGACAGGGAGACAACCACTAAAATGGTAAAACTGTAACAGTTGTCTGTCAAATAAGATTGGCAAATAAGTGTAGTTAAATCTTTTTTGCATAGTTAATCACATCTTTCCAATGATTACTCAGTTTGTAACCGTCATCACGGTTGAAATTATGTCTGTGTTTGTATATTTGTATGGCTTCGTGTACAAACCTTTGATGGTAGCCAGGAGGTTTGCAAAGAACCTTGGTCTCGGAAAAGACAATTTCATGAGAGCCCACCGAGTTGTAGCAATGATCGGCAACGGCCGAAGAATCAGTTCTGCCGTGTTTCAGATTTGACTTGTGCTCGCGGACACGATCAGAAACATGACGTTTCGTTTCTCCAATGTAGCAATCACCACAAATGCAAACTCAATTTGCAGACTCCAGGATACTGTAAGTCAGGAACGACATCCTTCACAGATGGAATCAAATCACGGATTTTATGCACTGTACTGAATCGGACTTGGATCTTATGTTTGTTTAGAATTTTGGAGATCTTTTTGGTCACGCCTGCTATGTATGGCAACGTGACCTAAAAAAGAGAGATGATATAGTCATCCTCTCGGCAGACAAGGGCAATGCCACGGTCATCATGGATAAAGATTCATACAACAACAAAATCCTGGACCTTCTTAATGATGGGAGTTACTCCAAAATTAAAAACGATCCCACTAAAAGCCTAACGACAAAAACCAACAGTATCATCACGAGTTCGACTTCCCTAATCGAACCAAGCAAACGTCCCTCTCTAAAACCATCGGCGGCTAGACCTCCCAGACTCTATGGTCTTCCCAAAATCCATAAAGAAGGCACCCCGCTACGACCCATCGTGTCGACGATAAACTCTCCTACGTACAAACTAGCCCGTTTTCTATCAGATACTCTGCTCCCCTTCACAGGCAAGACCTCTTCGGCAGTACTCAACTCAACCCAATTAGTCTCTATGGTTAAGGACATGGTACTATCTCCTGATGACATCCTCGTCAGCTTTGATGTAGTATCTTTGTTCACCAAAGTCCCAGTACCGGACACCCTAACAATAATTGAGGACTTAGTCCAACATGGATTGAATTCTGATGTACCTGCGCTGGTTAGGCATTGCCTCACCAACACCTATTTTACCTGGAATGGCACCTTCTACAAACAGAATGAGGGTACCCCTATGGGCTCCCCCTTGTCACCAGTTATAGCCAACATGTTCATGGAAAAGTTTGAATCAGACGCCATCCAGACATCCACCCTGCGTCCTTCCTGTGGAAGAGGTATGTGGATGACACTTTCGTCATCTGGCCACATGGCCTCCCAGCATTGAACCACTTCTTGGACCACATCAATTCTAGACACCCATCCATCAGATTCACCATGGAAGTGGAGAAAGACGGTAAACTACCATTCTTGGATATTCTGTTTGAGAGGAGGCCTGACGGATCCTTGGGACATTCTGTCTACAGGAAAGCCACCCACACAGATTCCTACTTGAAACCGGATTCCCACCACCACCCATCTCAAAAGAATTCTCTCATCAAAACGCTATACCACAGAGCCCATGGCATTTCTGACCAACACCACCTGGCCGGTGAATTAAGACATGTACATCGGGCCCTCAGGATGAACGGATACTCTGACCGCACTATCCGCCAAGCTGTTTCTCCCACCACACAGAAACAGCCACATGAAACTCCGACCAAAACTATCACGTTACCATACATAGCAGGCGTGACCAAAAAGATCTCCAAAATTCTAAACAAACATAAGATCCAAGTCCGATTCAGTACAGTGCATAAAATCCGTGATCTGATTCCATCTGTGAAGGATGTCGTTCCTGACTTACAGTATCCTGGAGTCTACAAATTGAGTTGCATTTGTGGTGATTGCTACATTGGAGAAACGAAACGTCATGTTTCTGATCGTGTCCGCGAGCACAAGTCAGATCTGAAACACGGCAGAACTGATTCTTCGGCCGTTGCCGATCATTGCTACAACTCGGTGGGCTCTCATGAAATTGTCTTTTCCGAGACCAAGGTTCTCTGCAAACCTCCTGGCTACCATCAAAGGTTTGTACACGAAGCCATACAAATATACAAACACAGACATAATTTCAACCGTGATGACGGTTACAAACTGAGTAATCATTGGAAAGATGTGATTAACCATGCAAAAAAGATTTAACTACACTTATTTGCCAATCTTATTTGACAGACAACTATTACAGTTTTACCATGTTTAGTGTTGTGTCCCTGTCACAGGTTGAGTCACAAACCGTACCTCTCCAAAACAAAGGCTCAGCCTTTGTTATGCAGTCTATTCTTAGTCTTAAGCCTCACCTTACCATATTAATAAAAAGTATGCGGCCCTTGCCCCACCACCTTCTCCAACCATTATATAAACGGAGTGGTAGTTCCTGCAATCTCTCATTTACTTGATACAGCTGTCGTGGCTGTGACGGTACCACCTGAAGACGGAAGCTTGTGTTGCCTCCGAAACGTCGTGATTTTTATTTTATTTTACTTTTTAATGTTTTTACCTACGTGACTTTACCGAAAAAACCTAAGAATATAGCAACAATACTGCCATTTCCGATGTGAAGAAGAGCTTCAGCAAAGTTGGCTGCCTCTTGGTCTTCATGGAGATATACACGCACGTTTGTTGTTAGTCTCAGTTTCATAACGTGCCTCCAGAGGAATGATGACTTGATGCAGGCATTTAACTCATCAGCTTTGGTTCCTCGAAGTACAACAGGTAAGGGTTTGTCAGAAGTCACCAGTCATGAGAAAAGTGGCACCACCCATCATGCTGCAAATTTGTGTTGACAGCCTCAAATGCTCCCTTGTGGGACTTGGTGCATTCATCTCACACTATTAATTCACAATTAAGCAGGACTTGTGCAAGAGCAGTCCCCTTTGCAATATTGCAAACAGGTTTTTTTGTCGGGATAGATCCAATGGAAGCTTAAATGTGGAATGGGCAGTTCTTCCTCCAGTAAGCAGAGTTGACGCAATCCCCGTTAATGCCACAGCTAGAACAATGTGTGACTTACCTAAAAGGGTGTTGACCCAAATTATAATTCCCCCTCACCCCCACCGAACGAGTGCGACTTAGTAGGGGCCCTCCCCCCACCGAACGCGTGCGAGTTTATATGGTCGAGCAGGCGCTCTGTAATAAAGAAGTAACCGAAAAGCAGCACTAAATCGCTAATTAAACTACTTTAAACGCGACGGACACGAAATCGGAATAGCGCTGGCTCGGCACGGGGCTTATGTCGTGGTACCTGGGTACTTTTTTTTAAACGTAAACCGCACGGTTTGCGAGCCGAATCCTTCACAAGTTTCGGCCGCACACACAGACAGACACAAACAAACAATGACATTTATAGGTTAAAAAGAAAATGATGAATGGCTGTGTCTGGCTGCACAGTTTATATTCCTGATGCTTCCAGGCCCAACAATGAACACCATTGAGATAATGGATTTGGTTGGAATGACAGTTGTTATGATAGAAGCAGCAATGTAATACACCTCGGAGTAGGGTGCATCTGAAAATAATTATGACCCTGTATAAAAAGTATATATAGTACAGTACATGAAGCCAGCTTCATGTGAGCTTCAATTCAAGGCTCCCACAATAGATTTCGTTTTTTAATACAGCTGTAATGAGAGAGCGCCATCCAGTGGGTGATAGAGGGTAACTGGGTGCAGGCACTATTATGTAATCGGCATCCAATCCTAAGAAGGAATAATATCTAGGCCAAAGGTGATGGGCGGAGTCGAGAGAGATGCTTCGGGAACCATCGGGAAGGTTCCACGGGGAGCGTGGCTAGAGGCGGAGCCTAGCTCCGCCGGGGAATATATAAGTAGGGGCAGGGGAGGACTCGAGGTCGGTGTGGGGAGCCTGGGGTCTGGACTGCGTCGCTACTCGTCATCGCTTTCGTCGCCACCAACCACGTAGCGGGTTCCCCAGTGAAGCTCGCCTCCTCTCTCCGGCCCGCCGCCAGCCTACGGCGAAACCGGGGGGAGCGGAGAGAACTTCGTTGGTGGACCGAAGAGAGACGCCTCGTCTATGGTGTTGTGAGAAGGGAAATTACCCGGAGATGGAGGAGAGGAGCTGTGCAGTACTACAGTTAATAAAGAAGCACTCATGCAACAATCATTGTGGAAGTCGTTTATTACATTGGAGTCAGAAGTGGTCCTTCAATAGAATACATTCTACCAGTTGGAAAAATGTCTAAACATCTCAAGAAGAAGAACCCACCTGTAGCGTCTTCCAACAATGATGAGGCGGGGACCCAGGACCTGCCGACCCCGGGATCTGTGGTCCCGGTCACAGGAACCATGGCTGGTGAGGTCGCAGCACCGGAGGTGGTCGGCGCGGCCGCGGCATCTCCGCCCCAGCGAGCCGAAGACAGTTGGAGGAGGGTGAAGGAGCAGCTAGAGTCGCAGCGGACGGTGCTTCTTCAGTTGGTGTCGCTCGTCGCGACGTTTATGGTGGCAGGGCGTCCACCTGAAGCATCGCTGGGAGGTAGCGATCGGAGGTCCGAGGTTGGAGTCTCGGCGAGTTTTCCTGCAGAGGCGAGGAGACGTCCGCCATTACACGCGCTGAGGATGCCACGCGGTAGGATGCCACCATTTCGGACGGCGCGACAAGGGCGCGGTCGGAGCCTGCCATTTTGGACGGGCCGTGTGGTGCGCAAGGTGTCGGGGCCGTCGTTGAGGTCGGACGAGGCGGTGCCGATCGCACCCAATGACTCCCACATGTCAAATAATTTGTCGCGGCCGGCGGCGACTGGACCGCCTTCACTTGGAGGTTTGAAGCGGCGTTCCGTTCAGTACGCTGGACGGAGGAGGAAGCGCTGGTTGCTCTAGCAACTGTATTAGATGACGACACCCTGGCGGTCTTCAGGCTATCCCTCCGGAGAAGAAGGCAACGTTGCAAGGTGCATATGCCGAGATGGCAAAGTTTACGAGCCACCTTCCGACACACGATGAAAGTTTATGCAACGTAGGCGAGGGAATTTCGAGTCACCTCTCGCCTACCATAGTGCGCTGATGGCGTTGGCTGTGGCCGCCTTCCCTGAGGCCCTCGACTCGCTTGTCATGGACCATATGCTGGCTCTGGCGAGGAACATGGGAGTGGTTTTGCCTGCATGTGGCCATGATGTACAATCATCCCGATGGGCCGTCAGATGTCTTCACGCTCACGAGAGCCTGCAGCGGTGGTCTCAAATGGCGGTATGGACGCGTGAGGACTGGGGGGCACAAAGGCTGCCCGTGATCTGCTACCGATGTGGCCGGCTGGGACACTTTGCAAGGGAATTCCGGAGTCGCTCTTGATCTCCGACTTCGGCTGCTGCTCCGGCTCCTGCTGTCCCTCTGACGGCTCAACCTCCACCCCCACAGGCGAGTCGGTACACGTCGGACACCCAGCCCATTTCGCAACCTCATGCATCTCATGACACGGAGCTCGTTCGTTTACAGCACGGTTCGTATGTTGACACCATGCAATCGGGTTCGGTTACACGGAGTTGGCCTAATTCGGTGACACAATGTAAGAAATTAGCGCGTCGCGTGGTCGCGGCGGCTGTGGGATCCTCAGCGGTGCCTCGTTCGATACAGGGAGTAGACGTTCGCGTCTTAGTGGACACGGGGCTTATTAAACAGCAAAAAACACTCCTATTAGAACAATGTACGCTAATCAAGCCACTCGCAGTAGCACATACCGCACAAAGCTATATACTATTACTGTACAGTCTGTTCTCTTATAACGGGTAGTTACGTTCCTGAAGAACACCGCGTTATGGAAAAATCTCGTTATGCAAAATAATATATAGGGTAAAGAACAGTCCACGATAACACGTGAGATGTGTACGCAGGCCAACAAAGACTGAGGCACGTGGGTAGCATCTAGAAGCATCCAGCAGCATCCACCTTGTGTCATGCTACGCTGAGGCTGCCACACAACCGCTTATTCCTACTCGAGCGACATAGTTTCTGTTCACTCAATTGCGTTATATCGAATTTGCATCCGTGTTATAAAATACTGTGTTCCCAATACATTCATCGCCTTATATACAATTCGCGTTATGAACACACACGTTATACAGTGAGGGAAAAAAGTATTTCATCCCCTGCTGATTTTGTACGTTTGCCCACTGACAAAAAATTATCAGTCTATAATTTTAATGGTAGGTTTATTTGAACAGTGAGAGACAGAATAACAACAACAAAATCCAGAAAAACGCATGTCAAAAATGTTATAAATTGATTTGCATTTTAATGAGGGAAATAAGTATTTGACCCCCTCTCAATCAGAAATATTTCTGGCTCCCAGGTGTCTTTTATACAGGTAACGAGCTGAGATTAGGAGCACACTCTTAAAGGGAGTGCTCCTAATCTCAGCTTGTTACCTGTATAAAAGACACCTGTTCACAGAAATCAATCAATCAGATTCCAAACTCTCCACCATGGCCAAGACCAAAGAGCTCTCCAAGGATGTCAGGGACAAGATTGTAGACCTACACAAGGCTGGAATGGGCTACAAGACCATCGCCAAGCAGCTTGGTGAGAAGGTGACAACAGTTGGTGCGATTATTCGCAAATGGAAGAAACACAAAAGAACTGTCAATCTCCCTCGGCCTGGGGCTCCATGCAAGATCTCACCTCGTGGAGTTGCAATGATCATGAGAACGGTGAGGAATCAGCCCAGAACTACACGGGAGGATCTTGTCAATGATCTCAAGGCAGCTGGGACCATAGTCACCAAGAAAACAGTTGGTAACACACTACGCCGTGAAGGACTGAAATCCTGCAGCGCCCGCAAGGTCCCCCTGCTCAAGAAAGCACATATACATGCCCGTCTGAAGTTTGCCAATGAACATCTGAATGATTCAGAGGACAACTGGGTGAAAGTGTTGTGGTCAGATGAGACCAAAATGGAGCTCTTTGGCATCAACTCAACTCGCCGTGTTTGGAGGAGGAGGAATGCTGCCTATGACCCCAAGAACACCATCCCCACCGTCAAACATGGAGGTGGAAACATTATGCTTTGGGGGTGTTTTTCTGCTAAGGGGACAGGACAACTTCACCGCATCAAAGGGACGATGGACGGGGCCATGTACCGTCAAATCTTGGGTGAGAACCTCCTTCTCTCAGCCAGGGCATTGAAAATGGGTCGTGGATGGGTATTCCAGCATGACAATGACCCAAAACACACGGCCAAGAAGCACATTAAGGTCCTGGAGTGGCCTAGCCAGTCTCC